CCCCCCCCCCCCGCGGGGGGGGGGGGGGGGGGGGGAGGGGGAAGACACCTTTGGAAAAATCAACATTCTCAATCCTAAAGTCTTCCAGAACGTCTTATTTCACCTTCCAGCTGTGAAAACATGAGCGCAGGCTCTGGATGTGTCACCGCCAGCGAAGGGAGGGGGGTACAAGCTGTGCGTATACCTGCCCTGCCACACAGCCCGGGCTCAGCATGCCGAATGAAGACAGACTCCCGCCATGTGTAGGGTCACCAAGAGGACCTGTTGGCTGCTGCAAATCACCACAGCCACTGGAAGATGCCGACTTTATAACGCGATGTTGGTTCCAGAGCACAGCTCTGTCTGCCCTGTAATTCGGGGAGGTCAAGAGACAGCAGCCTCCTGAGATGGATGGGAGCCTCCACTGTGCTGGGTAGGGGATGCTTTCAGAGGTTAAAGTGTATCCAAACCCAAGAACACAAATGTCATAAATTGCAGATTTCCGGTCCTTGACGGCTGCATTCGTTTTTTTTATCCAGGCCGAGTACATTTTCAGCAAGTACAGAAAATACGTGATCCTGCCAGAAATGTTGTGCCCTTGTCACTTCCTGTGAACTGATCTGAAATCGCAAGCAATGTTATCTTCCTTACAGGCTGTAAACTAGTATCTTCATAGATACAGTGCGTTGTCACCATAGATACAGTGCGTTGTCACCATAGGACAGGAAGTGTGTTACTGGCAGGATCACCAGGGGGAAAAAAAAGAAAAGAAAACAAATGCAGACTCCCCATCTAAGGGTTGGTAAGCTGCATCACATTTCTGTTCCTGGTAAGATACAAAGTGTATCTAATCCCATGAAGAAAAATGTCATATGCTGCAACTTACCAGTCGTTGGTGGCTGCATTAGTTTTCTTCTTTCATTCTTTTTTTCCCCCGGTGATCCTGCCAGTACCACACTTCCTGTCTTATGGTGACAACGCTCACTCACTGCACTGTATCCATGAAGAGCAGCGTTATCACCCTAGATCAGGAATCATGTTAGGCCTACAGAATACCTCCTCTTCTCCTCATCTCCATAGAGTGAAAGAGAATGGGAGATCTGTGCGTCCTCAGCCGTGGTCAGGTACGTGCTGGGACGGTCGCTCTCGCTTCGCATGACATGCCCATGGAGTCGTCGTGTTGACATTCGTTGTGCTAAGGCGCGTCAATGGTGCACATTGCCACAACGTACAGATGTGAATGAGCCATAAATGCCCCAACCACCAAAACTGATGATGGCATTCAGGTGGCACTGGTTGACATCAACGCATGGGGGCCCACCAGTGCGTCATCCTGGGCCATGTGAAGGCGGTCCCCTGCGCCATCCATACCTCACATCTCTTCTGCTGCGTTGAGCCATTGCTGAGGCGGCCCCCCCTTTCCCCAGCTCGCTGGGAAAGTTGGCAGCTCCCATTTCCCCTCCATACAAAGCCGTGCCCTTCCAAGCCACAGAGATCAGACACCAGCGGATTAGGCAAGAACGCAGCCCTCACGCTGAGGTGAAATAGCTGCAGTTTGTAAGTGAGCGGACGTATTAAAAGGAGCAGCAGGCGTCCCTCAGATGCCCATTTGACGATTGTCAAGCACCCCCGCCGGGCGGCAGAATGCGATATGTCAGGGTTCTCTCTCTCTTCCCCCCTTCTCCCCCTTTTTCCTCTCTTCCCCTTTCTGCCGCAGTGGTTTTTTTCCATGTCGGGACGTAGTGGCGGCGGGCCAAGGCCTGGTACAGGGAGCCGGGTTCTTCTCATCTGCTTCCGAGGAGGGAGGCAAAGGGCAGGGGACGCAGCGGGAGAAACCAAACACTCGTCTCCGGTGCCCACTGCGCTTTCCAAAACCCTCTCAGCCCCCGGCGGAGGGGGTCTGCGGCGTATTACAATTCACCGCGCAAGGGGCAAACGAGCCGATTCAGGCTCATCCGTCCGCGCACAAAAACTTAGAACCGTCTCGCTGCTCGACTTACCACATCCGAAATCGGGAAAAGAAAAAAGGAAAAGATGTCCACAGCGAAGCCAACTGCGTTGGGAGAATTCTAGAGACATGCTAAGTAGGGCGCTCATTCAGTGTGGCCAAGGTTTTGTTTTCACCCATAATACCCCTTTCTTCTGCATTGGCCATCAAAATACCCCCTTTAACACCAATTAGCATGCAAATTCCGCCGCGGTCTTGTTTTTTGAAAACTAGTTTAAAACCTCAATGTGCCTTTCTATAAACCAATACTAATTATTCTTCGGGAAAGGTTTTCAGTATAGTGGCCCGCTCAACCAAAAAGAGAAAAAGTGACATTATGTGAAAGAGCCGCTGCTGACATTCACAATCGCGTGCGGAAAAGTTCCCACTCCCCTTACAGACAACGTCTGGCATTTCCATCACTTTACTGCTTTAAAGTGGACCTGTCATCAGATATATATTTTAATGCGAAGTGTAACACTTCCAGGTATATATTACCGCTCACAGAGATCACAGCGCTCCCCCTGACAATGACTTCATCTGCTTTCCTCTCCAGAATGACAGCACCATCTACGTTCAGCCATCATCCAGTGTCACCATCTACTTCCTTGGCTGAGATTCTGGGTCAGAGGTGACAGTAGTGTGAATCCTGTTGCCTGTGCCAGACGTCTGACATAGATCAGCTACCGCTGCAGCCTCTCACTAGTTACAATGCAGCAGACTGATCAATGGGGGAGGGGAGACTGAGGAAGTGCTTCCTCCTGCCTGCAGCAGACTGATCACTGGGGGAAGGGAGACTGAGAAAGTGCTTCCTCCTGCCTGCAGCAGCCTGATCACTGGGGGAGGGGAGACTGAGGAAGTGCTTCCTCCTGCCTGCAGCAGACTGATCACTGGCGGAGGGGAGACTGAGGAAGTGCTTCCTCCTGCCTGCAGCAGTCTGATCACTGGGGGAAGGGAGACTGAGGAAGTGCTTCCTCCTGCCTGCAGCAGTCTGATCACTGGGGGAAGGGAGACTGAGGAAGTGCTTCCTCCTGCCTGCAGCAGTCTGATCACTGGGGGAAGGGAGACTGAGGAAGTGCTTCCTCCTGCCTGCAGCAGACTGATCACTGGAAGAGGGGAGACTGATCAGTGGGGGAAGGGGAGACTGAGAAAATGCTTCCTCCTGCCTGCAGCAGACTGATCACATCATCTCAGCCTAGGCAGAGCCACTCAAGGATGGCTTTTTAATGATAAAAGGTGGAACTGACACTGCTGCTGTCTATTGCGACATGTCAGGAACTTATTCAAGCACACTTTTAAAGTTCCTGAAAAGGCGCATGGAAGTAGGCGCAGTGTAAAGTCTGTAGGCCAAATAAAGAAGAACGAAATGCCAGCTGGACATCTCATTTTTTTCTGAGATTGCTGCACAGGAAGTGAGCTGTGCTCCAGAAACTATCTCTTCACACTCTTCTACCGTCTGCTCATCTTCAGGACGAGACACCTCATCATCATTCACATGAATCCATCAATGTTATGAAACTCTCTTATTCTGGCTCCTGAATCTGGTCTTCACACCCCCCTTGGAGGTCCCGGCCACTCACCGTAATCTTTCTTGCAGTACTTTTTCATGTTGATCTTCAGCTTCCCTTTCGATGCCTTGCAGTACGTCTCGCAGTCTAGTGAAAGAAAGACAAAGTTTATACAGTTAGATTTTATGTGCTGAATGTCAACACCGGGGAGTCAAAGTGCCGAAGTAACGGGACATTCATTTGGCAAAGGATTGTTTTACTTTCATTTGTGAACAACGGGAAAATAATTTATTTGCAGCTTTTTTAAATTGGCTTTGCTGTAAATCAGAGGTACAGATGTTTAATGTTGGAGCCCAGCGGGCTTTGTTCTTGGACACTTGGATACCTCTCTGCCCCAGGCAATAAACTATGATAGTTTCTGACAATGAATGTAAAATAAGCGCTCCTTTATTCCTATTTCCTAATCCAGGTTTAAGACTTGTTATGTCCATTGCGGTCCTCACTGTGCACTTGTATAATATCAGGGACAAGCACTAACATCATACAATACTTGAGTCCTCTTCCTTATGTGTGCAGGACAGTGATTCCCTCTGAGTGGGACATAGTTCCTGTAGGTGAGGGGCAGTAGAGTTGTGGACCTTTAAGCTTGTGAGAGAATATTCTCAGTCTAGAAGTAGCTACCAGTGCGGCCACCAATGTGGGAGAATGTTCCCAGTCTAGTAGTAGCTACCAGTGGGGCCACCAATGTTGGAGAATATTCTCAGTCTAGTAGTAGCTGCCAGTGTGGCCACCAATGCAGGAGAATATTCTCAGTCTAGTAGTAGCTGCCAGTGGAGCCACCAATGTGGGAGAATATTCTCAGTCTAGTAGTAGCTACCAGTGGGGCCACCAAAGGGAGATAATATTCCCAGTCTAGTAGTAGCTGCCAGTGGGGCCACCAAAGCGGGAGAATATTCTCAGTCTAGTAGTAGCTGCCAGTGTGGCCACCAATGCAGGAGAATATTCTCAGTCTAGTAGTAGCTGCCAGTGGGGCCACCAATGTTGGAGAATATTCTCAGTCTAGTAGTAGCTGCCAGTGTGGCCACCAATGCGGGAGAATATTCTCAGTCTAGTAGTAGCTGCCAGTGGAGCCACCAATGTGGGAGAATATTCTCAGTCTAGTAGTAGCTACCAGTGGGGCCACCAAAGGGAGATAATATTCCCAGTCTAGTAGTAGCTGCCAGTGGGGCCACCAAAGCGGGAGAATATTCTCAGTCTAGTAGTAGCTGCCAGTGTGGCCACCAATGCAGGAGAATATTCTCAGTCTAGTAGTAGCTGCCAGTGGGACCACCAGAGAAGGCTAACCAGACTAAAATGAAACTAAGGACCAACTTCAACTGACTAAGTCTACAAGGGTCACCATCAATGTGTAATATCTACTGAGGGTCTCGCCTACCTAATCCTAGAAAAATCTAAAGCAATTTGCTAAAGTAAAAATAACCTCTAAATTATTTTATCCAGTGTAAAAGTGCCAGGAAGTTGAAGTAATCAAATGTTGAATTATGTAAAGTAGGGTAGCCTTTATGAGCTGTTAAGCCAGAGTGGGGCCTTGATGGAGAGATATGGGCCTTGGCTAGTAGGGTGATTTACTTTTTGAACAGTTGAAGTGTTGAGATTGGTATTATGTGAACTGCGCCTGAGGATGAGCTCCTGGTCGAGGCAGTGAGGTGCCGGCCAGGACAGCTACAGGTTTGAGATGAGAGATACTCAATATTCCAACTTCTTATGGTACATTTACTAATCGGTACTTAAGATGCTAAAGGTTGTGATAGTAGCACAACATTTCAGGTTATCGTTTCAAATCATCATTTTCACAGTGTGATGAACAGAACAGAAAAATGGAATCCCAGCTGTTGACCTGAATGCTGATTTTTGATGCTGAATACATTCATAACCCAACATAAGTAACAAAAGTCCATATATCCCACCGCACTCCTGACCGGAGAATGCCCAATGTATCAGGGCGGGTGCAGCAGCGACAACGGATGCCTCCGTCAAAACGTACAAAAAAATAATATAGTCACCGTCACTCCAAATGATCAAGTCAATAAGTTTATTGACCCAAGTGATAACATCTCTAGCTAAACTTATTGACTTGATCATTTGGAGTCCTGGCAACATAAGTAACAGTCTGCATGGTTCAGTCAAATTTATAGGCCCCTCCACAGCATCTGGCCATGAATGTGTACAACCATTATTGCTTCCATAAAAAATAAGGAATTCTTGAGAAATCTCAAGATCTTTGGTGGTTTCTGAAAGTTTGGAAAGGTTGAACAATAATAATAGCTGTGATCGATGAAATGAGACAATGACGCAAATTAAAGATGAATGCAGATTGAAGTCCATGGGGAGGGGGAGGGGAGAGGGGTGTAGGTGTTTAGAAGTGTGAGGGAGGAATCTGGACAGGAGTGAGAAACGAGGCACCGAGCACATTATCAGAAATGGTTTTCCAGTCCGTAAGACGATTAGGGGATGAAAGACGAGGCCATTGCTCTTCTGAGGAGACCTCGCATATTTCAGCAGCCGTGTCATGGGGGCAGCAGGAGATGATGAATGGAACAGTTTGCTATGAAGGAGACTGCGAAGCTGCTGACAGCGTGAAAGATATTTTATAACTTAGGGTGGTGGAAGAATAAAGATAGAGGGTGTGATGAGTTTTTTCTCTTTCACATTAAAGTAGAACTCCAGTAAAGTACATTGTATGTGTCCTTGCAAAGATTTCGCACCTTTCCTCTCCTGATGACACAACAGTAGGGACACAATGGGGGACATCATTCGGAACCTGACACAGGTTCTCCCACTTCACTAATTCAGAAAGCTTTCTTTCCATTATGTGTCACTGTTGGAGAGCATTTCCTTGCTTCCTGTTCTGGTAACATTGCAGGAAAGGGGGGGGGGGGGGGGAGGTTTTCGTGAGAGAACT